CCCCAGACCAGCCGGGGCTTTGAGCATCCTGAGTGTGCTTGGTGCCCCAGAATGAGCCCAGACCACCCCTCGGTTCTGTGCTGTGGAGCTGCTCCATCTGTGGCCTCAAAACACACAAAGGAAACAGCAGCCTTGGCCCTGCACTTGGCTTATCGACTCTGTCCTCTCAGGAGCTCCATTTGCTGAGGGCGGGGAAGAAATTCTTCCCCTTTTGTCCAGATCCCACAGGGTAAGCCTATTGCTTTTCTGTCCCCAACTTTGCATTGCTTTATTCATTCATTAACCAGATACTCATTAAAGACTTTTTAAGTGCCAGATCTGCCCCAGGCTCTGAGGACCAGGAGTGCAGTTGGGCCCAACTGCCCCGGGCTGGTGGGGGCGACAGTGACCTCAGCAGGAGACGGGAAGATGCCATCCAGACAGGGTCCCTGGGGGTGGAGGACTGCCAGGAGGGCCCCGGGACCTAGTTGCCCACACTCGCCAGCGGCCTTAAGTTTGGAGTGTGGCAGCTACAAAAGAAAACCATGTTCACCAGACGCCGCCAACCTCACATTCCCCTTCCTGAGCCCACGGCCTTTAGTGCACCGTGCACTTAACACCGCCTTGAAAGAAATCCTGGAATGACACATTTATATTGCCTTTGGTTGTTTGTGTTCAAAGCATTTGTTAATTACACATGTTTAAATGATACTGCAATTGGTACCCTGTCGTCCAGGCCTTTCTTCACTTTTACATACACTAAGGCTCCGAAATGGCCCTGCCCGGGCTCCCAAAACAGTATATTTAAGAGGCACAGAGGCCCTGGTGTGCACGGGCACAGTGGGGACTCCCCTACAGCAGGGTGAGGTGAGCCGGGTGGGAGGCAGTCTAGAGAGCAGAAGACCAGCCTTGAAGTCCAGGTGAAGGTGTGGGGAGCCTTTCCAGGCAAGGCTTCTCAGCAGGGACGTCCCATAGTCAGATTTGGGGTCTCTCTCCCCGAAAGTTCCTTTTCTTCTCTATAAGAAGCCCAGTTCTCCTAATAATTGGTGAGATTCCTGGTGGGGGGGGGGTGGCTTGGGCAGGGGAGGGGGTTCCATGGGACAGTGAGCTCACTTCTAAAGCTTCAGCCCAGAATAAAGAAATCTTTCTGCCCCAAGGGCAGACAGACCTGAACCTGAAGAGTGTCTGAGTGGAACCTTTGGACAACACCCTCTGCTGGGTCTCAGTTCCCCTCTGTAGCCCCCCTCCAGCCCCCAATCACAGGGCACGGGGCTCATCCATTCCTTCTTCCTTCACTGAACAGATACGGAATAAGGACCTCCAATACCACTCACTGGTTGGGAGTTATGCCCCATCTCCTTGAGGACAGTCTTCACAGAATTTATCTGGAATTCTTCTGCTCAGGAAATTTGTCTATTCTCCCATTTTTACCAATATTTTAATGCTGGCTCTTTTACTTTGTAGAAATTCAAGAACCCCCATCGATGTTTGTAGGAACCTAGGAATATTTTTTTTTCAACTCCCCAAATGCATGAAATTAGCAAGACATTAAGTTGGAGGTTAAGAGAAAAGACAATCGTTTCTTATTTTTTCGATTGTCAGTACACATTAAGAAGATTTGGGAAATACCAAAACAGAAGAACCTCTCCCATCTGTCCCACTGCTCAGAAATGACTATTATTCACGTACAATGTGTTATTTTTTAAATTATTCTTCTGTGCCCGGTTTTTTGCAGATTATGCTGTCAATGTAATTTTGTTTCTTGCCTCTTCCCACCTTTTCATCATATCAAAAACATCTCTATGCTACTATACAGACTTCATAACCCGACTTTTTCAAGAGCTGCTAAATCAGTTTCCCCCACCCCACCCTGCAACCAGACTTGTTGTAGCACAATACCAGGCCTACAGTCCCCGTTTAGAAATTAGCTGTTAACTGAATACACAACAACGTAAGCCTTCTCTTGTTTTAGAAATATAGATTATTTCAATTTCCTTGACTCTAAATAATACTGAAGACAAATAGATTATTCCCTTAGGATCGTGTCCCAGAGTGGAATTGTGGGCCAACAAGGCCCAAACTTTTCAAGATAAATGCACCAAACCAGAAATCTCCCTCCCCTTCCCTTCGGAACCACCAGCAATTGTGTCCAGGGTAATAATTTACAATTGATTAAAGAGTTTGCGGCGTGGTCCCCCCCCCACCTTTTCCCCCCTTCCTCTCCCCCTTCCCTCCTGCCGAAAAGGGGGGAAATTATCCAAGAAGGTGAAGATGTTCTCAGACAATCATATTAACATATTCCAACAATTGCAATTTGCAAAATAGTAATCACAACTCCCGGGCTCTGGGAGGCATTAATCAAAGCGGCAGGTTTAATTCCATTTTAAATATTGATGAAACGTGCTTTGGCGGCCTCACCCTGGCGTGGCGGGGCCAGGGGAGACCGGGCGCCTCCGTGCAGAGGAGGTGGAGGGAGGGTTGGTGAGCAGCTGCCAGGAGGGGAGGCATCTGTGATTCAAATTGGTGGCTGTGCCGCCAGGTAGAGAGCGAGAGGGGTAGTGAAGAGGCTGTTAAGTCCATTGCTGTCAATTTGTAACGATCGGGGAGGGGCCTGAGGGCTGGTTTAGCACAATACCCCCAGTTTGTCTGGTTTCAGGGGTTAGCACTGAAGAGCTTGCAGCTGCACAGATTCGAATAGCCCAGAGACTTCAGAACTGTAATTATCAACCAGGCTGCTCGCGGTGTGGCAAAAGTGGGCTTCACCAGCGCTTAACTCCTTGTGTGCCGCCGCTGTCCCCACCCCCGGGCTTGACAGCCACGCGTGGATTCCCCCAGCAGCCTCCCTGGGAAGAAACCGAGGCCCACCTGCGGCCCCGGGCAGTCCTCGAAGGCAAGAGCATGCCTCTTTCCTGAGGTCACATACAGAGGAATAGCAGGGAGCAGGCAGAGGAGGCTAGCTCTGTGCAGGGCAGCCTTGCCCCCTGGCTCCCTTGTCACATCAACCCCAATCAGCCCCAGGGTGGGGGCCATCTGGCTTTGGAGTCTGATGGGTTTGAATTTCACTGGCTGTGGAGGTGAGGCAAGGCTCATCACCTCTCTCAAAGGGAGGGAACCTCCACTACCCTCCTGGGCTATCGCCAAGACTCCACAAGACCGGTGTTTGCAAAGCATGGAGTACACAGTAGGCTGTCAGTAAGCCTCTGTCTCTCTGATCCTGGGCTGGGTGCTTTCCCAGAAGAGGAAGGGGGCAAGGGAATCTGGTTGGGAGGGCAGAATTGGGGATGACCCTCCATGTTTGAGCTCTCAGGGGGTGCCCTTGGTCTCTGGCTACTGCCACGTGTTCCTGAGGAGGACAGGTAGTCCCATGCTCCCATCCCTTAGGGGGAGGCAGGTCAGGAGAAGCGACAAAAGCCACTCCAGGGTTGTAGCCCTGAGGAGAATGGTGTGAGGACAGGGGTTTGAGCTAGTTCTCTGTCCCTAGGGCCTGACATGGAGGTGAGGCAGGAATGAGGCAGGGACAGCTATGGCACTAGGAAAAGAACTCCGGTTTAGCTGGGAGTCATGAAGTGCAAGCGTGACCCCGAGACCCTCCTCCTCCTCCACGTTCTCCACGAGTCTGGGAAGGAGAGGGCCCAACGACGTCTGTCCCGGCGTGGGAGGTGGCACCCTTGGGTGTCCTCCCCAGGAAGGGTGGATAGTAAACGTCACAAGGAAGCCACTGCAGAGTATTAGGCAGCAATAGGAAGCAAAGAATGAGATGTACATTTAGCAACAAGAATAGATCTTGAAAATGTAGTGTTGAGTGAAAGAAGTAAGACACAATGAAACTCACAGCACAATGCCATTTATGGTGGCAAATTAAAACCACATTCGCACACAAAACAACGGCACACATTTTACAGAGCTGCATGCATGTTTAGGGGCATATATCCCACCATTAAAGTGGGTCTCTGTCAGGGCTCGGGGAGGGGCTGTGTGTGGGTTTGGGGGATAATGGGGGAAAAAGAAGTCTGTCCCTGGAGAGATGACTGGGGTATGGGGGGACCAAAGACTGCATTTCACTCCCTCTCTCTGAGGTTTAAAAAACAGCACAAGCTTTGCAGTCTGACCAACCTGGGTTCACATTCTGGGTTCTCCCGTGCACTAATCTGTGTCTGTGGGCGGGTGGCTTGACCTCTCTGAGCAGCTTGTTCCTCTGCAGAAAGGCAGCATTGCTGCCCGCAGGTGCTCACGAGGGTTAAATTAAGCAAAATCAACGAGCATAGGGCCCATAGGAACATCAGTTCCTCCTCTCTATTCTCCACTGAAAGGCTCGGAGTCAACAGAGGTGTCAGGTTCCCCTGTGGAGCCTTGGATTCTTAGAAGGGTCTATAGTAAGGGGCGCCTGCGTGGCTCAGTGGGTTAGGCCTCTGCCTTCAGCTCAGGTCATCATCTCAGGGTTCCTGGGATCGAGCCCTGCATCAGGCTCTCTGCTCAGCGGGGAGCCTGCTTCCCTTCCTCCCTCTCTACCTGCCTCTCTGCCTACTTGTGATCTATGTCTGTCAAATAAATAAAAAAATCTTAAAAAAAAAAAGGGGGTCTACAGTGGAAAACCCAGGAAGGAAACAAAGAAGAGCTGAGCTCTGGCCCCTGGCATTACCAGCAGGGCCAGTACTGGCTGTTGAGGGGGTGCTCTTTGTGGGCGTCAGATGGGGTGGATGCCCAAGCAAGTTGCTCTCTGGGGGCCCGTCGGGACTGCCCAGCTCAGAGTGGCCACATGACCTCATGCCTGCCTCCACGGGCGATATCCACCATCAGTAAACCCCTTTGTGTTCAATTTCCCCAAGACCAGGCATTCATAGGCAACTGGAGGATTCGGGTTTTAGTGAAAGATTTGTTCCTTCCCAGCACAGAGCTGGCCTGGCCCCCGAAGCCACACCCCTGTGCTGGAATGCAGTCCCAAGATGCCGACTGTGGGTCTCCCTGCACAGAGAAGGCCCAGCAAACCCCAGGCATGACCAGCTCTTCCTCTTCCCCTACAGATGATGACGAGCACGAGTGGATCATCAGGACGTGTCGCAAGGGATGGGATGAGATCGTGGGTCACCGACCCAAGCTGTGAACTGTGCTGCTGGCGGAGGTCTTCTCTGTACCACTGGCCGTGGCTGGCCCTGGGGGCAGCCTGCTGTTCCAGACCCTGACTTTTAGCTCAGGAATAAAGCCTTTCTGCACTCAGTGGCCCCAAGTGTACTTTCTTGAGATGATTTCTTAGGGGATTCTCATTTCACCGGCTTCAGAATCACCCGTGAATTAGATATTTCTGGACCCTACCCTAGACATGCTAATCAGAATCTCTGGGAATGGGGTCTAGCAATGTGCATTCCCAAGTGCCACTCCCTGAAGCATTCTTATTTTCCGTATCTCTCAACATCACCCCCAAGATCATGTGTCAGCTGAAAACCAGAAGAGGAAGGAATGACATGTTCTATGGCCACACTTGGGCCACAGACATCCTGGATCTCTGTATAACCATCCCTCCATAGAGGCTGTTGGATCCAGCAGCCCATGCTACCCCCACCTCCATGCTTTGTCCCTGGCTCTCCAAGAGCTGCCAGGAAAAGATGGGCCTTCAAAGGCTCTGACAAGGGGGTATAGCTCAGTGGTAGAGCATTTGACTGCAAAGGCTCTGACAAGGTCTGCAGAGATAGGAAACTGGCCCTCAAACTAGTGAACTGGAATTAGCATGTAGGCAGAGTTAGGAGTAGAGGGTGGCCTGGGCACACTCAGCTGCTCCATGGAGGGATCCTGGGGGTTACATCCTCCCTTCTGGGGCAATAGGTCACCTCTATAGAATGACAGAGTTGAGCTCCATACTGCGCTTGGAAAACAGAAGGCACATTCTTGTCTAAGAAGCACACACACAAACTATTTCTGAAAGATACACATATATCTAAATCAACATTTGATAAGTGGATTGGAAGAAGGGAGGGGGGAGGGGCAGAAATGGGGCCAGGGATGGTGGATGAAACAACTAATAAAATAAAGACAAGGGCCCTGCAGGGGTGAGGACGATGTACACTCAGAGCTGAGGTTTCTGAGCAACTCTGTGCAAGGCAGGGCAGGGCCACTCTACTCCCTACCTCATTGAGAACTTTGGCTTGAACCAACAGTTCTGCTGCTAAAAGAAAAGTGGCCCAGGAGCGAAAAGATGTTCTCTCTCACTCCCCAGATGGTATGGTGGCTCTGGAACCCAGTGAGATCCAATAGGAGACCCAGTATGTGTCAAAGCTAGAGACTTGTCTCCTTGTCTCCCTGCCTCCCATCCCATATTCCCCTTTACTTCCCCAGACCAAATTCTCCTGCATCTTCCAAACAGGCTCCCCTGCATTTCCCCTTCTAGGCCCCCCAATATCTTCTCCTTTGCACCTATTCTGTTCTGCACCCCAGCCCCACAACATGTCGGAGGGATCTATCTGTTATAGCATTGGCCAGACTGAGAGCTCCTCTAGGGCTGGTGGGCTGGGTCCTTCTCCAAGTCTGCAGAGCCAGCTTGGGGCCCAGCAGAAGGCATGTGTTCAAGAGTGGGGACACGGGACACAGCAGCCAGCACGACTGCCTACCAAGCTTAGATGAGAGAAGAAACTCACCATCGTGCCTTGGCAGCACACAGCTGACTAACTGGGAAATAGTACCAATTGCCCAGGAAGGGAGACTGCAGTGTCCAGCGGCCCAGAACCCTTGGGGGCCGGGGGCCGGAGTCCTTTTTTTTTTTTTTTAAAGATTTTATTTATTTATTTGACAAACAGAGATCACAAGTAGGCAGAGAGGCAGACAGATAAAGAGGAGGAAGGGAAGCAGGCTCCCTGCTGAGCAGAGAGCCCGATGCGGGGCTCGATCCCAAGACCCTGGGATCATGACCTGAGCTGAAGGCAGAGGCTTTAACCCACTGAGCCACCCAGGTGCCCCCGGGGGCCGGGGTCCTTAAGCGGAGAGCAGGAAAGAAACGGAATCCCATCGTGTTCTGGATTTAAGTGCCCGCACTTCTACTTGCATTAACTTTATTTATTACACAAATAGGACATTTACAAAGCACAACATGAAAGGTATGTAACAAAACAGACATTAGTTTTACAAAAAAAAAGTGCTTACAATTTTTTTTCCGTGTGTGTGTTTTCTCCCTCTGTTTTGTATTTAAATAAATAGTCTTGGTGGCCTGTGCGTTCCCAGGCTGCTCTAACAGGCTAGTGGAGACATGTCTGAATGGCAATGTGCTACAGGAACAGACCCTGGAGGGAGGCTCAAGGCAGAGTGGGCACTGGGTGACCCCCAGGCAGGGTTTGGTTGCCCACTTGGCCGTGGCCACATGTGTACCACATGGCTGTGCTTGGGGCTTCAATCATCAGGAGCAAAAATCAAAGGAAGCAGGAGAGCTCCCCAGTCACCAGGGATTGGGCCCCAGCTCCTCTTACGATCACTGGCACCCTGCACAGGGCCAGTACATGCCACTCATTGGATGAGCTCTGAACCGAGCTGCACTGGCCACGTTCTGGTGCTACCCTCTCTTGGCCCTGAGTCCCCCGGAACTGCCTTCGGAAGGGAAAGGAAGCCCGTTCCCTTCTTGGGCTACACCCATGCCTCGCCCTCCTCCAGGTCCCAGAGAGCAAGAAAGGCATATAAGTTTTCGTTTTAAGCGCCAACTTCAAGCCTTTGGATTCTGAAACCTGATCCAGACTCCGAGAGTGATACAATCCATCAGCGATGTCTACCACGGGTGAAAGTGGGGACAGCAGATGCCTGCGTGCCGTGAACATGCACTCCCCATCCTAGAGTCTCCTTCCAGAAGCAATGCATCGGGCTAACCAAAGCAGGAGGGAGGACTTGGGCTAGAACAGGCTTACTAGCAGCCTCTGGTGGGAAATGCATCAGGACACCAAGTAATTCTGAAATTACAGGATACGCTTGGGACAAATGGGCGTCCCCTGAAAACATAAATCATGGTCTTGTGCAGCCCAAGCCCTTTTGTTTGGGGTGGAAGAGTTGCAGCAGAATAGGGTGGATGTGAGCACAGCTGTGTCTGGCCTCCGCTTTCCTGAGGGGGTGGGACTGGCTCCGTGCAGGGCTGGTGGGGAAGCCCCCCACATGCCCCCCTGGAATCCTGGGCTTGGCACACTCACTATGCAGCATGTACCCTCTTTCTACTCAGACCTGGGTCCAGAATGAGCATCCCTACTGCCATTTCCCTGGGCTCTGTTTCTCCAGCTCCCCCTCCATGATGACCCCTCCAAGGAAGACGTGGCCCAACCAACCCTATCAGGAGTCAGCAAGTGGCCACCAATGCTACCCTGCATAAGCGTTCAGAAATGCCATTATGCATATCAAACACCATCTCCGCCACGTCTCCTCTATATATGCTGGATAACTAGGTAGGAACAGAGTCTCCCCCCACAGACACACCCCACATCTTCTCTTTTGTCTCCTTAAAATAGCCAATGCCTCCCCCCACCAGCCCAGCGAGCCACAGCCTTCTCCAGTGGGAGTCCCAGCTGCACCCCCAGCCCCAGCCCCTGCCTATCCGCCCCCTCTTGGTCTGGGCAGGCCTCCATCTCTGCCCTGTTGGGCCTCTCAGTGTTGGTCAGTGTCTCTTCTCTCTCTGAATTAACTTGACATAACCAGACAGATGGAAATGATAAAATTAGAACATAGCTTTCCTTTGGGGACATCCCACAAACACTGTAGAGTTTTCCAGACAAAAGCAACAGAGTGGATAACATTGGGGGTTGTCAGCTATTCAGAATTCAGAGATGGTTGCAAGGAAGTAGTAAAGAAAGGCCAATACGGGAAGAAAGAAAACCTGTAAATTAAAAGGCTGTTGGCGTTGCACGATTCGATTTGGCCTTTTGCTACTGAAATCAGCTGAAGTTGAAGATGACTCCTGTCTAGATGGAAAAACAGGCCAGTTGTTTTCACCCTGATTCCAGATTTCAGGGAGCTCTGCCTTCCCAGAGGAGGACCCTGCAAGTGCTCTTGGCAGGTTCTGGATGTCATCAGGAGGAGGGAAGGCCAGGCCCCAAGGCCCGGCTGGTGGCGGTCAGGAAGGCGGGGGACGGTGGGTATGGAGCAGGTGGATCCCTGGCAGTGGCTCGGATACCGGCTTTCAGCGGCTGCGGGGTGGCGGTGGGGTGCCCGCGGACAGAGGCACCAGGGCCCGCGGCGTCAGTACTGAAAAAGGATGACCTGCAAGAGGAGGGCGCGGGAGGCGGCTGAGTCCCGGCCCTGCCCCACCGGGCGTCGCCCACCCCACCCCCCAGAGGTCCTCAAACACATAGAGAATGCGGGTTGCTCAGGGCCCGGATCTGGGTTCAAATCCTAGCTCCAATACTTATTTGCTGTGAGACCCTGGGCCACTCACTGCACCTCTCTGAGCCTGTTTCCTCATCTGGAGAGCAGGGGTGACAAAAGCTCTCTCTCGGAAGGAGGAGGCTTCAGTGAGATCAGAGAGCAGCAAGACGTGTCTGCGGGGTACTGTGTCCGGTGCCCAGCACCGTGGGAAGGGCCTCACTTATGTTATGGGATGAAAGCCTCAGCCCTGTGAGGGTGCCCCGCGATTATGCCCATTTCACAGAGAGGGTGCTGAGGCCCAGAGAGGTGAAAATCAGTATGCCCAGCATCCCACAACAAGAAAGAGGTGGACCCAGGCCTGGCCCAAGACCAAGCTCTCTGCGTTGTAACACATCGCCTCTGCCTCTGCCACGGGGACAGTCGTCGCAGATGCTCACCACGCCCCTGGCAATGGGCCGAGCACTTCACTGGATCTTCATGAAGCCCAAAGGCAGTCAGGTACCTGACACACGTGGGTGATCAGGAACCGCCTGCCCCTTTCCCTCGCCCTCTTCCACCTCAAGCACCGGCCTGACCTCTCATTGTCCCTGCACCCCCACTCCCGTGCACAGCCAGCTCCCTGCAGGGCAGGTCAAGGATTATGGGCCGGCTGGTCGGCGGGACGTGCCTCGTCACAGTGACATTGTCAGGGTGATCCGGGGACATCCAGCGGGCATGGCCATTTGGCTGTTCCATTTTCGGATCGGGAACGTCCCTTGCCCAGAGTGTTTACTATGAAGAGGAGCTGCAGGAAGTAACGGTGATGATGTCTGTAACAGAATCATGATAACCCGCCTGTTCTGCGGCCCACAGGCTGTGCTCAACGCTTCCCACGCGTCGCTGCACTGACTCGCAGCAACAGCCTTCGGTGGTGGCAACTGTTATTATCCCCCTGCTGTGGGCGTGGGAATGGGGGCTCAGAGAAGCGGACTGTGGATTCGGAGTCAGCCTGACACCAGCGCTCCCACACTACTGTCTCCCCCAGCCCGGGCAGTGCTCTTCTCTGACCACTGGGAGGCCTGGCTTTGGTCCCTTACAGAGAGAAGCTTTCTCAGGAGAGGTAAGACCCCACCCTCTCAGGTAAGACCCTACCCTCTGCGGGCCTCAGTCTCTCTGTCTAATCCATGATAAGATGGCCCTGATTTCTAAGGGCTTTCCAAGCTCTGGAACTGTGGAATCAGGGGACATGACCAAGAAGAAAGGCAGTTCTGGAAACTCTCAGGCACATGTAGCCAAATGACGATGTGGCAGAGTCAGGGGGTGCTCCCTGCCAATGCTCAGAGCACTGTCCTCCTGGCCACACCAGGGCTGGTGCTGAGTGGGTTCTGAGCCTGCCATGGGGGGTACTGAGTCTCCTCACGACTCGGCCACACAAGCCTGGAGGGATTTGGGAGAAAGTCCATACACTCTTGGACTGATCACACACCGCCCACCGGGTCTCGTGGGTTTGGCAAGAGGTGGACAGAAAAGGTCCCCAGGAGCTGGCAGGAAGAACTGACAGTGAGAAGGTGGGAGGTCATAAAGGAGGGAGAGACTTTTTTTTTTTTTTTTCTTTGCAAAGCTGCTGGATGTGACGCTGGGGAGAAAACTCTTGCTAGGCAGCCAAACCCAGGGGCCAGAAACCTTCTCCAGCAAAAGCTTTCAGACCCGAGCCTGGCTCATCCTTCAGACTGAACCAGACGTAACCACAAGCTTAGCTGAGTAACCAGGAGACAAGGCTCGGCTCCAAGTGCTGAGCCCAGCCCGAAACATTTCTGAGGCTCCCCCCTGTGCTGCAGATAGAGCCTAAGCCCCTCACTCCATGGTCCAGGCTCTTCGTGGTGTGACCCCTGCCACCTCATTGGGCCTCGGTCATGTTAATCACCATGTGGTCCCTCAGACCCAGGCTCCTCTCTGTCTCTGGACCTTTGCACATGTTCTTCTCTTGACATGGAACACTCTTCTTGCCATTCCCTGCTTCTCCCTGAGAGCTCAGGGCCCCTTCTTCTGGGTCTTCCAAGGCCATGTTCATCCCTCACTTCAATTGCTCTATCACCCTGCTCACCTCCTGCTCTGAGCCACATGCTCCTTGAGGACAGGGACAGTGCCAGCGTGCCTCTTCTGGCCCTGTGCCAAATGACAGGACAAGTGCCCCCAGAGGAGAGTGGCAGCTCCAAGGCGGGCAGTCCTGGGATGGAGGCCAGCTCTACCCATACTCATGGTGTGGCACTGATGAGCTGCTGCTCTGAGCCTCAGTCTCCTTATCTTTACCTTGAGGATGGCCATCCCCACACCCACAAACATCAATCAAAGTACGGAAAGCACGTGCTGGGAGTGGAGGCTTTGCTGGAACAACATCAGCTCTTGCTGGGAGTGGGGCAATCTTGGGGGGTGTTCCTGGGATGCACTCCCCCCCCCCCCCCCCCCAGATCTGTGGGCTTTTGTACTGCACGCTGCTGTTTACTTCTCAATCCACCTGCACCACCAGGTTGTCCGCACCATATCCCGGCCCCATGGCGCCCAGCACAAAGCCGGGCACCCAGCAGGGGCTCATTCAGGATTAGCAGAGGTGCCCTGCGGGAGTGGCTCCCCACTCCAGGCCTCCCCAGCAGACTCTATAGAGGGGAGGCTGGGGAATCTGCTTCTGTATAAGCTTCCCAGGTGATTCTGAGGCACGCCAAGGCTGGGCTCTGCTGGCCTGGAAGGTCCCTGGAGGCCCTTCCAGCTGGAGGGAACTGGCCCAGTCTTCCTGGCCCACCACACCTGCTGACTCCTGGGGCTCCCTGCCTCCCTGAGCCTGCTAAAGCAATGTCTCCAGAAGAGGCCTCCATTCAATAAAACTAGAAAAATAAAATAAAATAAAATAACACAAAATAAAATAAAACAAGGGTCCCAGGCTGGCTCAGTGGGTAAAGCGTGAGACCCTTGATCTCGGGGTTGTGAGTTCGAGCCCTGTGCTGGGTATAGAGGTGATTTAAAAAAATAAAATCCTTAAAAGCAAATAAATAAAATAAGTAAAATAAAATTCAAAAAGAAGCCTCCAAGGCCTCCCCGCGCCCCAAGACAAAGTACAGACTCCTCCGCCTTGCAGCCCTGAGTCCCCCCTCCTTGCACTGCTCCTCTCAAGCCTGTGCCCCAGCGACGTTGAACTGCTCAGGGCTCCCCAAGAGCCAGGGTGGCTCGTGCTCTCCCTGATGAACTCTGGCTCAGCCTTCAGGCCTGAGCACAGACGTTGCCCTCCTCCAGAGACTCCTCCTTGTGCTTCTCCTGAGCTGGGCCCCTACTCTCCAGCTCCCTGGGCTACCCCATCAGTTTCCTCACACTGTAGTGCTTCTGCCATGTCTCCTCCTCCAGCCTGTGGCCCCCACAGAGTGGGAACCCTGCTCTCCTCACCTCTGTGTTCCTGGCCACTGACTTGGGCTGCCAAGCACAGTCAGTACATAGCAAATGTTAGTGGAGTGGATGAGGGGAGTACACAGGTTCCCATCCAGGTTCTGGGACGGGCAGCAAGCTGTGCCTCAATTTCCCCACTCCTAAAACGAGGGGCTGTCCTAGGACAGAGGCTTGCTAGGCTCACTGAGAGGCGTCTCGGCACAGAGAGGGAAGTGGGGTCCTATACACACTGTGATTTCATCTAGAGCAGCTCTACCTACTTTTATCTGTTTTATGGGTTCTGGAAAAAAAAATTTTTTTAAAGGTTCCGGTGCTTAGAAACAAAGCTTTCAGGCCACTGGCCTGGGGGATGTCTAAGCAGCCTTCTGGATGTTCAGACCTGATGCTTGAGATAACCAGAGATCCCGCTTCCACAAAGGAGGCCCTGCCAGCTGACCAAAGTCCCCTGCTGCCCTGTTATCCCAGGGGTCCCCCCTGATACGGGCGCTCACTCAACAGACAGGGATAAAAGCGAGGAAGGAGAAAGAGCAGGTGACAGGGTGGGATGCAGAGTGGTGTGTCATAGAAGCCTTTCCTGGAACCACAAAATGTGAGCAAAGTAACTAAATTCACAAATCTGGGGAAAACAAAAAAAAAAAAAAGAGGCCAAGTATTGGTGGAGGCCTAGAAGGAGGCCTGTGGAGGGGCTGGGCCCATAGAACACGCGGCTCAAGTGCCTGCTTTGGGGGCCAGGTGGGGGCTGAAGGATTCTGGGCAGAGGGGGTCTGCCACAGAGTGGCATGGTGCCTGCCAGAAACCCATCCCTGGCGGGACAACTCTCCCCCACCATACCCAGCCTGGCTCCATTTACCTTCTCACCCCGGTTGGAGAGCGGCCCATCCATGTCGGCTTTGAGGTGGACGGGGGGTGCGGTGTAAGGCAGCCGGCAGTGCACCTGCCCGCACTGTACCTGACCTGTGGACGAGAGGACGCCTTGGAGCCCATCCCGCAGCCTCCACGCACAAGCCCACGCACCCCATGCTCAGCAAGCTGGCGCCTGGGACCAGTTTCACTTTGACCGTGTACTGGCTGTGCGTGGCCTTGGGCAAAACTTCAACAGAGCTGGTTGTAATGCTTGGTGTAAAAAGCTTTATGGTCTATTAAGTGCTATGTGATAACTGTCCAGCTCACTGACAAACACTCCTAAACTAATATGTAATTCAACACCGACATACCAAGCTCTACCCCATTACCAGTCTCCCCTCTTAATGCCCTCTCCCTTCTTATCTCCCAGGTATCACTCAGGCTTTACCCTATACCTCCTAGAGGACCTTCCACTTGTATGTCACCTTAATGATGCTGTCCCTGGCCACCCTATTTATAACTGCAGCCCAACACCAACAACACTCACCCCTACCCTCCCTGGCCTTCTTCCCAGCTTTATTTTTCCTCCTTCGCACTTTCCATCATCTGACTTGCGGTACATTTTTACTGTTGACTTGTCATCGTCTGTCTTTGCCAACTAGAATACAAGCTGTAAGGAGGGCCAGAATTTTTGTCTGTTTTCCAGACTCTAGATCTTTATGGATTTCCAGCACCTGGAATGAGGCCTGACACCTAGCAGGTACTCGCTGAATATCAGTGGTGTGAATCTCTGTACCTTATTCCAACATCTAAAATGGTGGGGGAAATTCCATCCTTGTATCTGACCCAAATCTCTCATGTTTCAGGGCTTTACCACCACAGGGGAGAAGTCCGTGGCTTCTCTCGTCCCTACCCTTCTTTCTCTCTGGTCACGTGGTCCCAGGGCAGAGCCCTGTACAGTACAGAGACTTATAATTAATATGTAACTTAGGACAAGTCACTGTGCCTCTCTGAGATACAGTTCCCTCATCGGTAGAATAAAGCAATTGTATAAGATTGGGGATTCTTTTTTTTTTTTTTAAGATTTTATTTATTTATTTGGCAGACAGAGATCACAAGTAGGCAGAGAGGCAGGCAGAGAGAGAGAGAGGGAAGTGGGCTTCCTGCTGAGGACCCTGGGATCACGACCCAAGCTGAAGGCAGAGGCTTTCACCCACTGAGCTACCCAGGTGCCCCAAGATTGGGGATTCTTATCCTGGGGCATTCTAGAAGTCCATGAACAGTCTGGGATTACACTGAAAACTATGTGTGTATGTGCATCTTTCTGGGGTCTGGTTCCAAAGCTTTTTATCAGCTTCCAAGCTTGGAGGCCCCAGGGAACTCAGCATTGTGTGACTTTTGTTAACTTCCAAGCAAACTGCTGAGGTGTCCTTCAGTCCTGCAGCAAGAGGTGACAGGTCCAAACACCCTTGACACTTCCAGCCCTATGCTGGGTTTCATCTCAAAGTAAAAAGGAGACGGCACCCTCAGCCCCTTCTCTGAGCATCCAAGACATATCTAGCCTTCATTGACGAAGTCTGTGAGGGGAGTCCTGGGGCCTGACTCTGGATGCCACGGCCCCACTTCCAAGGAGGTCCTTGGTGCCTTTAACAGATGATCTAGATAGTTCTGTGGACTCTGTGCAACCTGAACGTAAATCATTGTTTAGAAAAGAAAGGAAGAAAAGTCCCTCCTCCGGAGCAGATGGTTCAGAAATGACACAGTGCAAAGAGACATGGTTTCCAACTGGCTGCCTGGTGCCAGAGGCAGGATTCCGCACCCCCAGCTGTGTCAGCCAGGACCGCCACCACCACCACTAGGAGAGCAGCTAGGACTTCCCCCCATGGACTGAATGCTGGAGACTTGACGTCAGCGATCTTATCTGATGCTCTGAGAGAAGCCTTCTTATCATCCTCATTTTTACAGATGAGGAAATTGGTTTTCAGGCAAGCTAAGAAGCTTGCCTGATGTCCCACAACTAGTGAGTGGCACGGCTGGGATCAGAAGCCCGACAGTCTCACCCTAAAGCCCACAATCAACCATTAAGGAATACTGGCTCCCATTACTGAGGACCCTGGGTTTCCTCATCTGTGCAATGAGACAGTGATAGCTAATGCTTACACACATGCTTAGTATAGTGTCTGGCCCATGGCAGGGGCTCAGTGAACAGCAAGGCTCTCTCTCTGACGCTCCCTGTTCTCTTTCCCTTTTACTTGGAGCCGGAGAAGGGAGGATTTATGTTTGTGGGTATGTTGTGGCCTCTTCTATTTTTCTGGTCACACCCAGCTTTGAGGAAACAAACAAGTTCAAAGGGAATGAAGATCCGTAATAGGCACCTGCTTGTTAGCAGACATAGAGAACGTCCATTCCCCCAGAAATTCACAAGGCCACTTCCCTCTCTCCTCCAGGTTCCTGCTCAAAGGTCACTCCACCAGACCCATTCCATCATCCCCATGGCATCTCCAGTCCCCACTGACATGCCATCTCCTCCCTCCTTTATTAGCTGATTGTCTCTCCACCCACGTCCCACTCTGGAATGTGAACCCCAAGAGCACACAGATTTGGGTCTGTTTTGTTCTCCGTTGTATTCCAGTGCTTAGGACAGAAGGCACTCAGAGAGTAGTTTGTGAACACATGAGTGGATTCTCACAACCCTGTGAAATAGGCATTATTGATGTCCCAGTTTGCAGCTGAGGATACTGAGTTTCAAGGAGGGTAGGTCATTTGCCCTCAGCCTCCTAGCTCTGGATATTCCTGCCACACTGGCTGCCTTCTGCAACCCCAAAAGCACCCATGCCACAGTGCTTTCTGGGTTATGGCCTGCCTGCATTCAGCTCCTCTGCTGCTGGGCACTTCTACTTCCCCTCTCCTTGTGTCTCACTAATTCCTATCCATCCTTCCAGTCTCCACTTGCTGAGAGGAGGCATCTCCACAAGCTTGCGTCCAGCTCCTTTCCTACAGCAATCATCAGGATTAAAACCATGCTCTCATCTATCTGGTTATCGTGCCACGTTCTCTCTCCCACCAAAACGCAGCTTCCACCAAAACGCAAAGGCTTTCCCCATTCTGTTCTCTCCCTAGTCCCTGGGCGCTGGCACACACAGTGGGTACTTGGAAAGTATTTTTTGAGTGGCCAAATGGCTTTTCTCTACAAAAGGTCCCGTCTCCCTAAGGCAAAGACCGGCACCTTAGCCCCTCTCTCCAACCCCTAGGTCCGAGGGACTGCAGACCCGACGTCTTCACCCACCAGGCTCCGAAAGTCCTCCCCACGCCTCCGCCTCCCGCGCGCTGCTGCGCGTGCCCCCCGCCGCAGACCCAGCAGCCTTGGTGGTGCGGTCACTTACTCTCAATGTAGCCGTGCAGGGTGACCATGCGCGCCCGCTCCGGGCTGCTGAACGGGGAGTAGTGGATGTCCTCGGACAGGGCGGAAGGGAGGCGGGACGGCGGCGCCCCGGAGGGCGGCACGGGATGCTGTGGTGTGTGCTTTTTATGACGCGCCCGGCAGTTTTGAAACCACACCTGGAACGACAGCCTCAGCAGCCTCAGCCTCGCGGGAAAGGGTCGGACGCGCCGCTGGGAGACACCACGCGGGACTGCTTCGTCGCCTCCTGCGTAAGGGCGGCCACGTGCGCCCGGGCCGGTGGCTGGCTAGCCCGGAACACGCTGGTGGGCCCGCCCCGGGCCCCTAGGCCTCGCCCCCGCCCCCAAGGCCCCGCCCTCCCTCGGCCCCACCTGGATGACCCTCCGGCTGAGGCCCGTCATGTCCGCCAGCTTCTGCAGCGTCTGTGCATCGGGGTTGTTGTCCTGCGCGAACTGCGCCTGCATAACCTGCGGGGAGCAAAAGGGGCAGTGAGGAAGGAACGCGCGGAGGTCTCCCAGACCCGGGCCCAATCAGAGAGGATCCGGCCCGGAGGCCACGCCCCAGACAGCTACGGCCCCTCCCCACCATCAGCGGGTCCGGGCAGAAGGGGCGGAGCCAGAGGCCTTCTCGGCCCCGCCTACCTCTAGGGCCCGCCCCCACCTTCGGCCCCTCGCGGCCCGCCGGGGTACCTGCAACTGCTCGGCGGTGAAGGATGTCCGCGCGCGCTTGGCCGGTTTGGGCTGACTGTCCTGTTCCGAGGGCACTGCCCCCTCCAGCGTGAGGCCGTTCCCTGGGGGTGACAGAAGTGGCTGACCACGCGTCCCCATCTCTTCTAGTGGCATCCTGGAAAGGACGGGGGTGGGGGCAGCTGGTCCCTGGAAGGGTCAGGAGTGGAGTTGGCTGGGAGCGGGGTTCCCAGAGTCCTAGTCCCTGAGCTCTGTCTTTAGAAAAGGGGCTGTCATTTCTGAGCGTTCTCTAAGTACCAGACGCTGCTCTTTCGGTGCGTCCTTTGTGTCTGGCTCACGGCCCCATTTTACAGCAGAGGAAAGAAACCGAGGCTCAAAGAGAAGAAAGTCCTGACCCAGGACCTTTCTCAGCTAGTAGCTTACAGCTGACAGACCCTAGTGGCCCAGACTGGACTCCCTCTTAGCTGAACTGGGGAAACCAAAGGCTGGTGGAGGTAAGATGCGAGCAGGTTACAGAACTGTGATTCTAATTTTGTAAAATATATGGAAGCAAAAAGGTTGAAAGGATACACACCAAGGTGCTCGCATTTATGCATCTAATAGAGACACTACTTTCAATATTCCTGTAACTGCTGAGGTTTTTACAGCAATCATATGTCACTTTATTTCTCTAACGTTTAATTTTATTAACTGGAGCATATGTTAGCCATTCTCTTTCCAGTTCTATGACTTTCACAATCACACTAAATACATTCCCATTTTATTTTTAATACCTCATTTTTCTAGGTAATACAGACTTATCAAAAACTTAGAAAATTCAGATAAGCACAAAGAAGAAAACCAAATCACCAGTAATTCCACCACTGTTCACAATTAGTGTAATTTTTTTTTTAAATTATGAAAACACTATGTTGGGGGGGGGGAAACCAAACCAACATGCCACCATATATACAGAGAAAAAAAAAATCTGGGAAGATAGATACTAAAATATGAGAGGTGGTAACGTTTAGAGTGATCTTTATCTTCTTTTTGCTTAACCATCTTTTCTAAGTGTTCTATGATGGAAGGATGTGTGTTTAAGCTTAAAAGTAAAAACAGCAGGGGTGCCTGGCTGGCTCAGTTGATAGAGCATGTGACTCTTAATCTCTGGGGTCTTGAGTTCAAACCCCACCTTAGGCATGGAGCCTACTTAAAATTTAAAATATAATAAATAAAGAGTAAAACAGTATCGAAACTGAGGGCTGGTCAGTAAAGGAGATCTAAGGCCCCAAGCCTTCAAGCTGCCCTACATGGTTAAGTGTCTGGAGTGGCACAGAGGTGAGAGCAAGAGTTGTAACTAGCAAGGGTGTGGCTAGGGGCAGTCCTGATTGGTCCAGATAGGAAGGAGGTCACTGATGGACCATGGTATAGGGGGAGCCCTGACTCCTGGGATTCCATCCCAGTGCCACTGCTGATTTGGCCACTATGGCAGGTAACTTCATACAACCCCAGCCTCACTTGCTTCCCACATAGGCCACTTTTAGTCCTGATCCTGGCAGGAGAAAGTGATGGCCTTGGTGTGGCCATGGTCTGGAACACCCTAGAAATTCCTGACAAGTTCCCAGGCTAGAAACTGAGGCAGGGTGGTCCATACACCTCCCGAGAGGCCCTGAGGATGGAATAGACACTTTGTGGTATTAATGTCTCCTAGGAGAGCAGGCAGGACAAGGATTGGTGTGCCATTTTCTCAATGGGAACATAACACTTATAGGGACAGCCACATCCCAGCAGCCTCCCTTGTTTAATGAGGTCTAATTAAGGGTCCCTGGAGCTTGGGAATGGGGTGATGTGCTATGGTGGTTAAAAGCCTGGGCTTTGGAGTCAAGCCAGCCTGCTAATGTGTAACCTTTGGCAAATCCATACTGCAGATAACCTCTGCCTGTTTCCTCGTCTGTAAAATGGGGACACATCAGCTACTTCTTAGGGTTTTTGTAAGGATTATACAAAATAATCCACATTACGGAGAATTAGCAGCTTCCAAAGACCCAGACAGGAAAATAATCTAAAGGATCTCTGACTCTGCCCTCAGCCCAACCTCTATTCCCACCCCTTTCTAACCACCAACCCCCCTGTGACTCAGCCCTCACAGTCCCTGGAAGATGTGGACCCTGTCTGCTGGCCTATGTGTCTTAGGGAGACACAAGGGATCTTTCTCGTTGACAGAGTATCTTGCACAGATGGGGAGACTGACGCCCAGAGAAGAAGGCTTCACACATTTCCCAGAAGCAAAACAGAGCTCACATCTCCAGACTCAAAGTCTTTTTCTTTACAGTCCAGGATGAAACCCCCACCCGCAAACCTCTGGCTTGGAGCTGCTGGCACAGCAGTTGGGAGAACAGAGTGGAATCATCTCTCCAGGACTGGCCCATGGCCAGGTCCAGGCAGCAGGAGGGGACGAGTCCTCAGGCCAACCAGAGCTGGCCAAAGGTGGAGCAGGCTACCACATTATGAGAATCATCTCTAGGGCTCCCTTGAGTGTCTCCTAGCCATCTTTGATAAGGGGTCTGTCTTATCATTAGCTCCATTTTACAGATGAGAAAACAGTTGCAGAGGCAGACTGTGACTTCCTACGCCCAAGCAAACAGTGGAGCCAAAAGTGCATGCTCCGTGGGCAGCCTCCAGGTGGTGAATCGGGTGCCTGCTCCTAGAGGAGTGTGGTCAGTTCCTGTGGTGCTGGGGTGGGGTGGGAGAGGGCTGGGCACAGAGGTGTGGCAAGGTGCTGGGTGGGGCGGGTTGGGTACCGTTCTCGGCGGCCCTCTTGAGGTTCTCGATCATGGTGTCGTAGTGGATGCGGCACAGCACCTTCTCCTCGACCAGGCCAAACTCCTCGCCCGTGGACAGCTGGCGCTTGCACGAAAAGCAAGCAAAGCAGGCCAGATGGTAGGCATTGCCGCGTGCCCGCCGCACCCAGTCGCTGGCATAGATCTGTCGACCGCACCGTGCACACTTGGTCCCAAATCGGCTGCGGGACACCGGGACAGGAAAGGGGGGTGGCGAGGCTCAGACAGGCTCCCCCTTTCCCCTCCAAATCCCACTGGCCCGCCAGGACCCTGCCTCCTGGCCTTTGCTCACCCAAATTTCCCTTTGCCTGGATCTGCCCTGTATTTCACACCCCTGCAGACACCAGTGCACCTTCACGGTGAAGGTGAGCTGGTGGGTGGTTTTTACTTTCTTCTTGGTGCTTTTCTGAGTTTTCCAAGTTTTCTACAATGATCCCTTACATTTGTACGTAACTAATCTGTTCATTAAAATATATCATGTTAGGGAAAATATAATAACATAGTAACATACAAGGTTTTGAGCACTTACCATGTGCCCAGCAAGATTCTAAGTGTTTTATGTTGATTATCCCAGTTAATCTTCATTTTGCAGATGAGGAAAATGGGGACCAGAGAGTTAGAGTAACTTGCACGTCACACAGCTCGCAAGGGTAGAAACCCAAGATGAATAAACTGTACCCCAGTAGTAGAGATACTCAGTTTCTCGGAAGCATAGACAGATATACACTTGCTGGCTTTGTGCCCTTGAGCGAAGTGTTTAACCCTCTGAGCTCTCACTTTTCCTGCCCCGAGCTGAGCTAGGTGACACTGCAGAGGCTATTGCTTAATACTCTGCGGGCTATTAAGTACCAGCCAGTCCCAAATCAAACAAACAAACAAACAAAAGGCCCAGATCAAATGTCCCCTCCCCCTTAAGCCTTTCATGTTGGGCCTTTTCCCCATCTCCCCCCACCTACCCACCCCCTGCCATGTAGTGCGGCTGTTTGGGTATTCCTGCCTCCACTAGCGGCCTTGGAGCCCCTCCAGGAAGCAGCAGCCCCTCCAGGAAGCGGCAACAGGTTTACCCCGTCCTAGAAGTCAGCGCAAGACCTGACCCCTGAACCCCAGGGAAGGTTTGTTCGTTAAGTAGATGACTCGTCCCGTGACCCTGTCCCAACCCTCAAGTTTCCTCTGGTGTGCACTCTATTTCAGGGAATGAAGCCACCATTCATCCAGCTCCTCAAGCTCAGAAACCTAAACCATGCACCCCTCCCTCTCCTCAACCCCACATCTAACCAATCACTTGGCTTTGCTGGTTCTTTTTCCTACGTATCTTTGGGATCCAGGTGCAGTGCCACAACTGCCCTCTCCTAGGCCAGAATCTGCCCTGCTCTGCCTGTTGCCAGCTCTACCAGGGGCCAACAACCATTCCTCCATACAGTGGCCACAGCGAAGTTTCCAGCATGCGCAGTGAATCCTGTTCTGCCCTGCTTAAAATCCTTTGGTGACTCCACTCTACCCTCGGGATCTGGTCCAAGATCCTTGGCGTTCACAAAGCCTGGCAGACCACAGCCTCTTAGGCTCATCTCCTCCCTCACTTTCCCCACCCCACACCCAAGCAGGAGTCCCAGGCAGCCCTGATGGAAGGTCAGTGCCAGGTCTCTATGGCCTCCTCTGAAGCTCCTTCCCCAGCCCAAGCCTTTGCACAGACAGTGCTCTTCGTACACCCTCTCCCTGAAGAGTCCCCCAGTTCCAGCACCTGGCTAGCAGAGTTGGTCAGGCGGGTTTGTAAATGTCGGATTCTTCGGCTTTCCCTCCCACCCCCTGTATTCCTGGGAGAGGACCAAGATCTGCCTCTGTGTCCCCAGGGCCGGCACACTTCCACCCAGAGGAGCACTCAGAATTGCCTGTGAATATGCCCAGAAACCAGCCGAGCAAATGCGCTCTGGTTACAGCCTCGCCTGCCTTGGCAAAGGCAAGCAACTGTCAATTGAATAAACGGTCTTGGGTTAAACTGAGTGCGGGAGCGAGGAAGCCTCGGCCCGTCCCAACTCCAGACGTAACTCCAACGCAACTGTCTCTGACCCGGAGCGTAAGGGAACCCTGTGGCTGGCGGCGCGGTTTACTCGTTCGGGTTGTGCTGCGCGCCTCTGCTGGGTGAACCGCCCCCTAAACTGAGGCGGTTCCGGACCTCGGAAACTCGGCTTCCCCAGGGGACCGCCTAGCACAGCCCGCGGTTTCTCTCCCAATCCCTCAGTAAAGGGGAGAGGAAACCGCTTCGCCCACCCCTGCCTACTCTCACCGAAGGGCGGACCCGGAGTTCTGCGACCCGACTGCCAGTACGCGGATTAGGAGTACGTATTGGCCTTGGGAGACAGCGACCAGCCGAGGGCAGAGCAAGTAGAGCGATCCAGGATCCCGGGACGCAACGCAAGCCGCGTGAGGTGGAGACTCTGGCACCCATTTTGCACACGTGGAATCGGAGGTTCAGAGCGGACAAGTGACTTGCCCAAGACCACAAAGAGCGTGGGGCTCGGGGTAGAGGTCCACTCTGAAGTGCGAAAAGGAACCTCGAACCTGCGTAAGCAGTTGGGCGAGAGAAGATTAGGGATGGATCCCAGGTGTATTAACTGGAAACGGGCCTGGTTTGACCCCGTCGCGAGTCCCGGCTCCCAGCCACGGGTCCCAGAAAGTCCCGTTTTTAGGGCCTGAGGCCCAGCGGATTCGGAGAGGCGGGGAGTGCCTTCCCTGGGAGAGGGGAGAGCCGGGGAGGGGAAGGTCCCGGCCTTTCAGAGGCCACATGAGAGCGACTGCGTCTCCAACCTGTGGTCTCCGTGGGCCACGACCCGTGAGCTGCGCCAGAGCACACGACCCCGGATCCTCGCGCGCGGCTGTGCGAGATTCCTTGTCCTTTGCCAGAGATGAGTCCAAGACACCCCGCGCACCCCAATCTTTCTGCTCCACATTGCCGATCCGCGGGCGCCTTCTGCGCCTACGCTGTACGTCTTACATTCCTTGCTCCCCAGCGGACCCCGCGAGTGAGCTCTCACCAACTTTCCCACCCTCCACGCGTCACCCCAAATGATAAAAGCTGTCCCAGCCCTAGGATCTCCCCGCGCTCGCCGTGGTTCGTCCCAGTCAACGAAATCGCCTTCGCGATGGGTCCTTGGATGGGAGTGAGGGGGTCATTATACAGTTTTGGATGAGTTTGAGGGCCGCTCCTGAAACGTATCCTCCACCCAGGGCAGGGGTCAGTGGCACAAACAAGGGGGCACGAGGAGGCTTACGGATCGAGGTTCTCTGACAAACCGATAGACTCCTTCCCAGGCGGGCTGCGAGGCCCGAGCCGCCGGATTCCGGAAGCAGCGAAATCGGCGGCGAGACAACGAAACTTCAAGAATGGGGTGTTCGGGAGCTGCGAAGGGAGCGCCAAAGGGATTAGGGGGCGCGGCTACCGCCCCTCCGCCCCCAGCCTTGTGCGCGCCCCTCCCTGGATCCCGGCGCTCGCCGTGGGGTAAAGGCGCAAAGGACAGACACGCTTTGGGCGTGGAGAGGAGTCCGGCAGACGCTGCGCATACTGGCAGCTGCTGAAAGGAGTGGGGTGCCATAGTACATCTCCTTACCCTCTCTTCCCTGAGTAGGGAACAGAGACATCTAGGTACTCCTGGTTGTGCAGAGCTGTGCGCCCTTGGCCAGGTCAAGCTCACTCTCCCGGCCCACTTCCTCTGGATACCGAGTTGGTGCTCAGCCATTATTTGTTGGATGAATGAGCCTCAACGAAAGAGCCTTTCGGAGTTTCACTACGACTCCTTTCCGCCTTATTAAGATACCCGAAGCTAAACCGAAGCTCCGAATGGGAAGGCTTCGGTTAGTTAGGTTAGTTAGGAAGCTGGAGAGTCTAGTGCGGAAACTCAAACCAGAATTCAGGTATTTTGAGTTCAGAACACTCACTGGATGGCCTTAGAGAGATTCTAAGAGGACAGCAAGATGGAGTGGAGGAGGAGCCTTTTCTATTCCCTCTGTTCCTTCCTTCCTAGGCAAACTCTTAGAAGAAGCCAGAAAAAGCAGAACCAGCAATTATGAGGTTAAAATGCCCTGCGCCTCGGAGGTCCCGGCCCCGAGGCCCCTCCCCAGAACTCCTCTCTCCGCTCCCCCTACATCTGTCCCCCAACAGCTGGCTGCCGCTGGGCCGCTCTCCGCCACGGTGGGGGGCCGCTTCCCAGCTCGAGCCTCCCTGGGGACCGTCGCTCTGGGGGAGGGGGTGGGGTTCTCCCACTGGAGCCCGCGGTTGGAGCTTGGGCTCTAGCTGGAAGGCCAGAGAAGGCTGAGGGCTTGCCCTAAGTCACATGGGCCAAGCAGGGGACAGGAACTTCAGCTGGCTGCCCCGTGGCCCAGCCCAGGACACTTTCTGAACCCCACCCGGATCAACGCCAGGAGCAGCAGTTAACCCTTTATTCCCCACTCCAACAGGCAGGAGGCAAGAGGGCCAGGGACCATGGTGACCTGATCATGGCAAAGTTGATCTAGTCACAGTCTCTGAGGAGGTCACTCCTGTCCCCGTGCTCCCAGGTCCCACCCGGGAAGAGCCCCACACCAGAGCACACAGCTGGTGATTCTTGTGTGAAGCCAATGAAACTGGGCAGGGAATCTCAGAGCCGGGGGAGAGGGGATTTTGCCATTCCATGACCTCTCCTTGTAGAGAGCTTCTGCTGACATAATCTCACCTATAAAAGAACAGTCCTGAGTGTTTAGACACAGGGATGGCCTTGGGGATCACCCAGGTTCTGCCACTTACTAGCTGCGCAACCTCCCCTCTGAGGACCTCAGTTTCCCCTCCTATAATGTGGGGATTAGGACAATGCAATAATCACAGGGTGGACCTGAGGATTCAATGAGATGGAGCCTGCCAGAGTTAACGTGGTTCCTGGCTTTAGAAAAGCTCTATAGATCCTGGGGAGCAGTAGCCTCACCCCTGCCCAGCCCTCTTACACTCTCTCACTGAGTGACCCTGGGCTCCACATTCTTCTCCCCCAGGGCTTCCATCTCCCCAATCACACAATGGGCATGATGCTTGGTGGGGGCTGAAGGAGGAGGCACTGCAGATCAGACCATGCCCCCGTTTTGGGGGGCAGCAGTGGCAGGTCAGTGGGTGGGAGGAAGCTGTCTGAGGCTGTGGTTGCTGAGGGCAGTGGAGATCTGAATGGCCCAGAAAGGAACACTGTCCCCACCCCACTCCCAGGACTTTTCTTCACTTCTTGGAAGAAAATAGAAAGAAAAATGGTCTTAACCAAAAAAAAAAAAAAAAAAAAAAAAAGGAATAAAAAAAAAAAAAAAAAAAAAAAAAAAAAATGAAGAAGTTAAAAGCAATATCAGATTTTCCCTGGCGGTCTGCTAGGACTCAGGGAGTGAGTTACCAGGTTACCAGGTTACCAGGAATCTGGCTAAACCCACCAGGGCTGGTGAGGTCCCTCCTTGGAAGGAGAGTTGGAGAAACCGAAGCAGAGAGGCCGAGCAGTCTTGCCTAAGGTATCCCCTCCATGCTCTGCAGCCTCCCTCCCTGGTGAGTTTGGAGGGCCTTCCTAACTTCTAATTCCTGTGCCACCAACACCAGGCTCTGCCAAGGGAGACTGTGGATCTACAGGATGGTATCAAAGAGGGGCAAGAAGAGGGATGGAACAGAGGAGAAACCCTTCCCTGAAGGATAAGACCTGAGTCCAGAGGACCATGGAAGCCCTCTGGTGCCCCGTCCATGAGGTCTCAGCCACTTCCTTCCTCTCCCTGCCTTACTGGGAGATCTTGGCCTCCCCTAGAGCAGAATGCTCCAGTCCATATCCCACCAGACCTTTGACCTTGGGCTTCAGGAAACAGAGGGCTAGAGAAACTCAGTGCATGGCCTCTCCCTGAGCCCCAGCTCCTGAGGGCGAACTCTGGCTCCCACGTCACCATTCATGCTTTCCCCAGGAAAAGCTCCTTTGCAGCAGCCACCCAGAGCCTGGGCTGCTGCTGAGAGCCGACAGCGTCCCTGCCTGGCGCTCTGTGGCTTTTTCTTTCCCTTCTTGTGGGTTTTATTATTTTTATTACAGGTGGGGTTGCCAGGGATGGGTTCTGCCTGCAGGGAGACCTGGCTGGCGTAGACATGATCAAGAGAGCCCACAATTCTTCCCTCGTTCCAGCCAATGGGAGCTTTTATCCCATTTTCTTAACCAAAAATCTGCTTTAGTTTTGATTTCAGGGCTTTTGTCCCTGGAAAAGGATTAGCGCTCAGAACCTGCTGCCTAGAAATGACCTGCCCCAATCTCTCCAGGCAAATCCTGCTCCTCAAACTGCCAGAGGAAATGCCATCAGAGGATTGTGCCCAGCATCCACTCTACCAGGGGTGACAATGGTGACAATGGAGACATCCATAGCACCTGCCACTTAGGGAGACTCTAATGAGCCTTCCTCCCTACACTGGCCTCCTTGGCAGCTCAGACAGACAACCCTGGAAGTAGGACACTGAGGGTAGAGAGATGCAGTCACTCGGCCAAGGTCACACAGTGATTCAGCATTGGCCTGGTAGAGTTCAATTACTGCTTGTCCCCACAACAGCTACACCCCCCCCATCCTCAACCCCACTGCAGTAAGAAGGGGGACTCCAGAGCCAGTGAAGCTCCGAACAGTGGAATCAGGATCTAAATTTTGACTAATCCTTGAAGGTCTAGCAAAGCACCGCAGCCAAGGAGGCTTGGTCCAGTGTGGGCATGAGTTGAGGCTGGAGAAACAGGGAGGAGGCTCCCAGGTCCACTCGTCACCCAGAGGGCCAGGAGAGGGATTGAGCCCTGCCTTACTCTGCAGAAGGAGGCCGACGAGATATCATCCTGCTGGGTTCCTCAGCCTGGAGCCCTGTCCCTGGCTAGCTGATGAGCCCAATGAGCCCTAAAACAGCAGCTGGCCTGAATTTTGGTTTGTTTGTTTGTTTGTTTGCTTTGTTTTGTTTTTAACCAAATGAAGGCAGGCATAGAGCGGGGATGTGGCAAGACCGGGACTCCAACCTCCATTTCCTGCCCTGGCCAGCCAATAGTCAGATGGGACAGTGGAGAAAGACATACCCACTAGGCGGCCGATAACCTCCTGGGATGCACAAATGTGGCAGTCCACATCCACAAATCCATGTTCACATCACACCCTTGGCTCCTCAATGCCAGGGTGAAGGCCTTCGATAGGAATGTTCCCTCAGAGGAGAAGTGGAGGAGGAATGACAGGATTTCAGAATTCTCGCCCTGTCACCTCTGGGTCCCTGTCCAGACCTAATCTTGTCTCCACTACCTTGCCCACAGGCACACATACACACATATACACACACCAAGTCCCAACATTCACATGGAGACACACGCTCTTGACGCTCACACATAAACTAAAAGACAAATACTCATCATAAAGGAGTACACACACTGCCTTCATAGCCCTGACCTTGTTCAGGGACACATTCCTCCAGTGCCACTGCTCTGGTGCAGACAACACAGACACAGAGACACCACTTGCATGCTGAGTCCCGGGTCCTGGGAGGCAGACACGCCCTCCCCCCCATGCACATCCCAGGTGTACAACCTTTCACATCCATACACAGAAGAAGAATCCACTTCTGAAACCACGTTTCCTGTGGTTTCCCCAGAGTACTACAGCCCCAAACACTGCAGACCTCACCCTAGTCTCAAGATCCTCTCTTTCCAATGGCCAGGAGACTCAAAGCCAGAGCTAAGGGAGCAGACATTACCTTACCACCAATTTCCTTGACTCTCAGGGGCCTTCTGAGCCAGGGATCTTTCTAGTAAGACTGAAGCCATGACCTCTGCAGAGGCAAGGATGGGAAGGATGTCTGTGGGCTACGGGGTCTTTCTAGGGGAGTAGCTTTCTCCACTTCCGGACAAAGCCCTTGGGAACAAGCATCCCTCCCAAGAACCAGTCCCACTCCGGTCTTCCGGACTCTGTAGGCCCGGTGGCCAGGCCTCACGTCAGGTTCACGCTTCCCGCCAGGATCAGGCCAGTGGCTGCTGTGCCCCTGACCTCGCAATGACCTCGACCCCGTGACCAGGTCAGGCCTGAGCGCGCGGTTAGGAGCCGGGCTCACGCCGGCGGCGAAGACTCGGCGGCGCGCGGGGAGGGTGAGCCTGGGGCAGGGCCGCGGCTCTGCGGCGCGGAGAGCCCAGCCCACCGTAATCCTACTCGGGGCGCGGGTTGCTGGGCCCGACTCTCCCCCTTCCTGTCGAGGCGGCGGCTCAGAGTCAGAGCCTGGACCCGGCAGCGGCTGAAGCCCGGGACCAAAACGACCGCGGAACGGAGACTGAAACAGGCGCCCCCGCACCCGGGCAGGATCCCCGACTCGGCGATGGGACACGCGAGCGACGCCGGGGTCTTAGTTGAGGCGGAGCCAGAAAGGTTGGAGCTTAGGACGAAGCGTTTGGATAACGGACAGGATCTGAGAGCTGCGAGGCTAGTGCTTGGGGCCGGACGAGACCCAGACCCACGGAGGAGTCCAGGGCAGAGCAGGAGACTGGAGCCCAGCTCTGGGACGGCGGGGAGAGACGCCTGCGCGGCTGGAGTCCGAGTGGGGCTGGAACCCAGAGCTGGAGCGCCCTGGAGGTGCAGGCGGATCTCGGCTGGGATCGGAGCGAGTCGGGGCCAGAGCCCAGGACGTCAGAGCTCGACCGTTGGAACTGGAGCCAGACACTCTGTAAGCCCCGAGACGGGGCCAAAGACGCGACCAAAACCCAGTGGGCCGCAGGAACCGGAGACGGGTGGCGGGCCGGCCCTGTCCCGGCACCGGCGCGCGGCCTGGAGCTCCTCGTTCGGTGCGCGGAGAGCGGGCTGATTGAGCCCGCGCGGCGCGCAGGGAATGCCCTCGGGGTCTGGGCTTCGGCGGCTCGGGAGACCGAGCGCCGCCAGGGTGTTCTCCGCGCGCGCCGGGGCGGGGGGGGGGGGGCCTGCCTGCAGCGACACTGCTGGCCCAGCGGCCGCAGCCTACCTGAAGTAGTCCATCTTGCAGAAGATCTCCTTGTTCTTGATGTAGCAGCTGTTCTGCTGCCTCAGCGACGTGCGACACACGGAGCACTCGAGGCACCGCACGTGCCAGATGAGGTTGTTGACCTGGGGAGGGGGCGGAGGTGGGGGACGGCTCAGAGCGGGCCTCTTTTCAGGCCCGGCCCCATTTGCAGATACTGTAGCTGGAGGTCTGAAGGTGTGTATGACTTCCCCACTTTTCTTCTGTGACGAGGAAGCTTAGGAAGGTAGAATTACACTCTTCCCATTTTTCAGACGGAAACCCGGGGGTGCCGAGAGACCCTAAGATTTGCCCAGAGACGCGCAGTCGTAAGAACTTAGTAGACCTGCGCCGGCGTTGTGATCCTCAGGGATGCAACCCACACCCCGCCAACAGACACGCAACACCCCGCCCCCGTCTCACCTTGAGCAGATACCGGTCCAGGATCTCAAGGCCGCAGCTGGAGCAGATGTTCTTGCCGGCGGACGGCACGGAGGAAGCGGCAGAAGGCGGTGAGCAGACAGACGGCGTGCTGGGTGTACAGGGGGAGGCCCGGCCTTCGTCCTTGTCCAGAGCGCCAGCCAGGGCCTCGGCGTCCGACTGAGCCTGCAGTCGGGGAGAGAGGGAGAACCGCGCGCTGAGCTGAGCGCCCAGTCGGGTGCCCAGCGTTGCGGCTGCCTCGGAGACAAATCTGGGGCCCCAGCGCATCAACTGACAACGAAATTCTCCCCAGATGCCGTTCCATGGACTACAAGATAGGAATGGAAGGGCCTATTGGAGAGGAAGGGACAGCCCCAACTTTTAGCCCTCGTGTCCTGGGTGCTGGGGACGGTTAAAGTCTACATTTCCGACCATAAAGCAGAGGCTCGGAGAGGGGCGGCGCCTTCCCGAAGTCCCCCGGCGCATGGGCAGCGGTTCCGGGCCGGAAAGCCGGTCAAGGTCCCCAGGGCCCGCCAGCCCGCGTACCGGGGAGCGAAGGCAGGACCGAACGAACTCACCATGGCGGGCGGCGCGGTCCCTTCAAGGCAGCGGGTGGTCGCTTTGCAGCCGGACCCTGGCTGGGCCATCACCTGGGGGAGGGGGAGGGAACTCAGGCGGCGGCGGCTGCAGAACTGGCTCCGCGCAGCCTGAGCCCAGCGCCTCCCCGCGCCTGTTATATAAACCGACGCGGAACAATGAGTCTTAACTTTGTAGTGGGCATTTAAAGCCCTTCCCCACAAAAGCGGTGTCTCTCTAATGAAGCAATTTGAATTTGGATTGGATTTTTTCCCTCTCTCTCCCCCTCTCCCTGCACTTAACCCGTGGCTCTTGAAGTAATCGCTTAGTTCCCTTGCAATCCAAGCCTCTGAGGGGGAAAAAAAACACGCGCACACACACAAACTACCTGCAATTAGAAATTGTCGTGAATGCCCAAGATAAGAGGTAGCCAGAGTGTCAATTCCAACTGTCAATCAGTGAGATCCATCAGGCCGCCCAAAGAATTGCAAATTTGATTTTTTAATGGTAGTAATTAAAAATCGAATTTTTTCTCCCTCCACCCCCCCTTCCTCGCTCCCTTCTCCTCCTCTCGACACAAAATGCAAAAAGGAGAAAAGAGAGAAAGAAAGAAAGAAAAGAAAAAGGAGATGGGTGTGTGGGGGGGCGTTTGAGGAAAATAAAACCCCGAGCGCTGGGAGCATCAGCCCGCCAGCCCAGCGCGCGCTGCGAAATTGATGCGGCGATATTGACACGAATTCAGGCGCCTTTCGAGGGCCAGTCCGAGGGAAACCCCGAGCAAAATGGGGGCGAGGTCCGGGGGGAAATGGGACCAAAAAGAGAAAACAGAGGCGTCCAAGAAGAGGAAAAAAGCACCCTCCAGCCCCTCGGCGCGCCCGGGACCGGCCCCGCGTCGGGATTCTCAGCGTTGCGCCAGCACAACCCCCGGCGCATCGGCGCTATCAGCGCCTATTCAGACGGACAATACCCGCCTCGCCTCCTCTTGATTCGCCTGTGTCTTTGCTAAATCGCTTTTTGAGAAATTCCTCCAACATTTGCATAATGTGTTCCCGCTTTCCGCGACCCCCCCCCCCTCCGCGCTCGCGCGCGCTCACACACTCACATACACACACTCACAGGCGCACCCCAGAAGCCCTCCTCCCCGCGGCCGCCCACCGCCCGGCCGGGCCCTGCGGGGTCCCGGCCCCTGCCCGACGGTGGTCCGGGCAGCTCACCCACTCGCTCACTCCCTCACCTGGTCGGTGGCGGGGCCGCCCTCGGCCGGCAGCCGGCAGCCCTCGGGCAGCGCCGGGGCGGCGTTCTCATGCTTCCAGTACATGGGCCGGGGAGCGGCGGGCTCGGCCGGCACGCAGCGCGGAGAGCCGCGCGGAGAGGGGCCACGGCCGCAGCGGGAGCAGAGGCTGAAGCAGGAGCTGGAGGAGAGCGGAGGCGCCGGCCCCGCCGCCCCAGGCCCGGCCCCAGCCCCCGCCCCCGGCCCGCGCGCAGCCCCGTCCTCCCAGGCTGCTGCCGCCGCTGCCTCGGAAGAAGGTCCCGACAAACTTGGAGAGGCCCCCGCCCCCTCCTTCTCCTCCTCCTCCCCCTCCTGGTAGTCCTCCTCCTCCTCTCCCTCCTCCTTGTCCTCCTCCCCCTCCAGCTGCGGCGGCGGCCGCCCTGCCGCTGGAGCCCCACTCGGTTCAAGATGAGTCATGCGTGACCAATCCCCTCCCCGCCAAGGCAGAGCGAGACACACACAGCGAGGCAGCGACCCAGAGACACACACAGACATATAGACACACAGAATCTCAGGGCTGCTGACACAGACTCAGACAGCTGACATACAAAGGCATCAGCACCCCCTCACCCCACCAACTTCCACTCAGCTCTCACTACCCCCCCTCCCTCCGGGGGTACCCACGGCCCTTAGGCACAGCCCCACTGCAGGTACAAGAGGGACCCATGGTCCCACTTCCGGCGGAGATGGAGTCCATAGAAAGTCGCACATTATACTATGTTGATGTAGTTCCACTCCTGGTACATCTGTGTATGTACTGATGCCAACGATTCCCTTTTCCCATCATTTACCTGAATACAAGGCATACATACACATACGTACATACACACCTGCACAAACGTCTATGCTCCACAACAATCATAAAGTGGAATGGCACTGAATGGGGTTGGGTTGGATGGGGAATGGGGAGTTACTTGGTGTGTGTGTGTGTGGAGGGGGGGCAGTTGTTACCCTCAATTCTCCTGGGAGGAATTGCCTAGGATATCCCCATTCCCTCTGGGATATGCTGAGCCATCTGGTCTAATGTACACCTCACCTTCTATGGGGTTCTACTGATAGAGAGGTAGGGAAGGCTGGGGAACCCAGGCATGTGGCTAGGAGACACAGCCTCTAAACACACACACACACACACACACACACACACATACCCCTCAGACTCAAACACTCCACAATATACACACACAAGTGGACACTCACAGCTTCCAGCCCCCTTCTCCTTACACAGGCTGAACCTAGACAGACACATGTAAATACACATCACCTTTGAAAAACAAATATGCACACTCAGACTTAGATCCAACCTTCTCGACATCATGACACCCCTACCACCACCATCGTGCCTACCATCACAGTCCCTAATTGCCCTCATTTACAGATGTGCACCCCCATAACTGTTTTTACACCTGTACACACACCCATACTCAAGAGAGCGCTGACACCTACAGAGATCCAGACCCACATAAAACCTCATGTCCTGTACTCAGACACTCACAGATATGTGCACACATCCCTACAGATGGCAGTTTGTAGGCAAAAACAGCATACGCGCGTCTGCAGACACAGGATTCCCGATAGTCACAGCCCCAATCACGCACACACATGGGCACAGAGGGCAGACAAGGGTATCTGCACACCAGTGTCATACCAAAGACCCACACTTATATCCCTGAAAGACACAAGTATTGTTCCTTTACAGACACCCAGATACACAGAATCAGCCCCAGACCCAGCAAGCACCATCTCCCACCTCCTTCTAGTCACTGACTGTTCTCAGACACAGAAATTCAGACTGAAAAGTTTGCCTGAGTCCTAGTCTTTTATACAAAGAGCATGATTGCAATGAGAAAGCTAGGAGATGTGTGCATATTCACACGTGTGTGCACACACAGAAACACGTGCACCCTTAAACATCCACATAACCACAGATGACCCACCTCCTCCCCCTCAATTATCTCTTTGCACTGAATAAGCTCAGCTACTGTATTATACTTCCAGCCCTTGCAGCAGCCCTACAAGGAGGTTATGTTATTTTACTTATTTTTAAAAAGTAGTTTCCATGCCCAGCGTGGATTCAAACTCACCACCAAGAGATCAGGGGTTGCATGCTCTTCTGACTGAGCCAGCCAGGTGCCCCTGTTTTTAGATTTATTTTATAGTTGAGAAAACAAGCTTACAGGAGCCTCATCTCAGGCTGTAGCACTCAGACTCCAAAACCTAAACTCTTACCTACTATGCGGGTCCGCTCCTGAATTTGGATTAGGTGCTCAGGAAATCAAAATTGGAACAAAAGGTGTTAATCTCAATAGTGAGAGAGACTCTGAGGTCAGACTATGTGATGCGAGTCGTAGCACTGCCCCTTATAATCTGGTAGGCCCCAGACAAGGTATTCAGCCCCTGGCTCAGTCTCAGCTTCCTCATCTGTGAAGTGGGGGTGATAACAGAGTCCACTTCTTATCCTTAGGAAAATAGAGCAAATGATCCATGTCAAAGAGTTCCCATTGTTACAGGATGGACTGGCTACATTTTCCAGGTGTTATTCTACTAGATGATAGTTTTTTTTTTTAAGATTTTATTTTTTTATTTGACAGAGAGAGAGAGAGATCACAGGTAGGCAGAGAGTTAGGCAGAGAGAGAGGGGGAAGCAGGCTCCCTGCTGAGCAGAGAGCCGGATGTGGGGCTTGATCCCAGGACCCTGAGATCATGACCTGAGCTGAAGGCAGAGGCTTAACCCACTGAGCCACCCAAGCGCCCCATAGTTTTTGTTTCTTTTCTTTTCTTTTCTTTTCTTTTTTAACGGGGGATGGCAGGGCATCAATCAATCAAATAATCTAATATTTTTCTGAATAACTTACCTAAGAGAGCTGCAGAGCCTTTATTCCAACCCAAGACTTGCCTGATCTCAAAAGGGACAGGAGTAAACTTATTTTGGAAAAGAAATCTCTTTTCTAACAACTCCTGACTCTAGCAGAAAAGAGAGTCCATATATGAGTGACCTTGGCAAACTCAGGATCAGCAAACTCAGCGCATTCCATTGCCATACATGTTTTCTTCCTACAAGAGACTGTGGGCAAGTCACTTAGGCTCTCTAGGCCTTAGTTTCCCTACCTGCAAATGGAGGGATGACACTTATCTCTCAGGAGCGTAGTGATAGTGAACCACATATTAAAAGCTAATATTTTTGAAGTGTTGCCTCCATTTCTGGCATAGTTTAAACACCCTAGGTGTAGAATGTCATACAGAGCCTGTATGTCATATGTCGTCAGCATCATGCATGTATGACGTCATAAGCATCCTGAAGGTATGATGTGATCTAGTCCTCACCTCATTCTTTCTCCTGGTCACTAAACAAGATGTGGTCATCTCATCCTCCAAGGTGAGTTTTGCCATCCTTCTCCACCTGAGTCTAGATCCAAGGTTTGGGTTTAAAAAGAGGCTTCAAAAGTAACTGGATAAATCATGAGAGCTCTCCCCCTTCACCCCCAGCAGCAGTTTCGGCCCACTGGGGTGTAATTCTAGGAAGGTAATGTGAGCCCAGGGGAGGCTAGAGACCTAGCTTCACATTTATTTACTCTGACAGCTAAATTGGTGAGCCAGGGGGGGAAGTTAGATGAAAGCCATTTCAGAGTAAATACTAAATAGAAGATTTAAACATTCAGGTTTGACAAATGGGAAATGAGCAATGGGAAGGGACACAGGCAGTACACCCTTTCCCAGCTCAGGACCCAGTCCTCACCCCGTGACCCTCCTGGGCATTTCCCGTTTGAATAGAAGAAAGACCACAGAATGGGGTATGGGCTGTATGACCTGGGCAAGCAATTTGCTCCCCTGGCCTCGGTGTCCTCATCAGTTAACTGTGTGTGTTATTTGGATCATATCACTGGGGAAGTAATGAAAAGAGCACTAGCCTTGGAGTCAGATAGACCCTAGGTCATTCTCAGCCCAGCCACTTCCTGGCTGGGCGAACTTAGAAAAGTCGCTTAACTGGACCTTAGTTTTCTCACCTATAGGGATGGTATCAGTCTCAGAGGAGTAAATGAGATAATCAGTGTGAAAGGTCATTTTAGACGGCACGTATACTGCGAATGTGGACAGCCATAGTCACCCGGAGTCCCCTTTCACTTCTGACGTTCGCTGTGTGAGTTCAGGTCAGCGGGTGATAATAAAGCACTTGCTCCTTGCTAGGCGAGGCACTGGACACAGAGAGTGAACTGTCCTGGTCCCTGCGCATGACAAGCGCAGTCTATGGGGAGAGAAGACAGACAGCATTTGCAGTCTGACATGACAAGGGTTTCACAGCGGGGAGCACAGAAGGAGAGGTATTTCACCTGGCTTATAGGGTAGGCACGTTGGGAAAGGCGTCCTGGAGGTGTTGACCTTTGAGTGAAGTCCTAGAGAATGAGGGACTGTGACTCAGGCCAGGCTTGAGGGGAGCAGGGTCAGGATGGAGAGTGGGTGCCCAGTGAACCGTTTGCTGGGTGAGGCTGGGCAGGTTCAAGGATCCAGATCTCGAGGGCTGAGTGCTGGGTGGGGAGTTTGGGTTCATCTGGAAAGCTGTGCCTCTTCCAGCCTGTCCAGAAAGCATCATCCATCCTGTCCCTTCAGGTGCGGTGTGGCACGGAGGCTGGGATGCTGGGTTTGGAGTCGGGTAGCCTGAGCTCTGCTTGACTTTATTACACACTAGCTGTGGGAACTAAGGCAAGTGGCAAACTCTATGAGCCTCAGTTTCCTCAACCATAAACTAGGCATGAACAGAGGACCCACAGGAGCTGCGATGAGAACGGAAGCCCGAGATACATCTCCAAGATGAAAGCTTGGCACCGGTCTGGCATCCAGCAAGCAGGTGGTCATCCAGTGGGGGGTCACAAAGGCACAGAAAGGGCTTATTAAGTGGTGAGTCCTCAAAGGGCTCGATGTCGCCTCCTTGGAGAACTCTGCCCTTGGCCACACTCTTTGAAGTAAATCTCTCCTATTAACTTTTTTTTCCAGCAGAGGGTAGATAAGGCTAAAGAAAAGGTTATGCTGAGATAAGCCTTGTACGACCAGCTAAG